CTAGTCTGACCCCCGGCTCCAGCTGGTTCTGCTCATGACATGCCTACCATGTGCATGTGTAGCCTGTCCTTGAATACCCTCACCAATGGGGCTTCAACTATCTCCTGTGGAAGCCCATTCCACACCCTCGGGGTCCTAACTGTCAGGAAGTACTTCCTGGCATCCAAATTGAAACTTGGTTCCTTGAGCTTGGCTCCATTGGAGTGAGTCCTCCCTCTGCAGGGGAGAACAGGTCTCTACCCACCTCTGTGTGGCACCCCCTCACATGCCTGTATGTTGCCAACAGATCCCCTTGGAGTCTCCCCTTCTCCAGGCTGAAAAGACCCAGTTCCCTCAGTCTTGACTCATATGGCTTTCCCTGCAATCCAGCCACCATCCTTGTGGTCCTATGCTGCACTGACTCTTGACCAATGAGAGAGAGAGAAAGAGAGAGATTCTTCTGGTTGAAATCTATTTTGAACAAGCTCTTGTAGCCCCCATTCCATGCTCACTCTGAAAAATCAGTTGTAGCCAATTCATGGTAGGAAGCATGCCTACTTAGACATAAGCATGATCGGTGTGGCTCCTCCCAAGAAGGACGGGTGGGCTTCTGCAGGTCTCCACAGTAGAAAGGACAAGTTTCTGCAGCACAAGGCTCAAGAGGAAGTAAGCAGAATCAAATCAGCTTTTTCTGTAGTAAGTGGGAGGAAAGCCGTTATTTCTGATTCACTATTTCCATTATTTTCATTGGAAATAAGAGCATCTTTTCTGTCAACCAGGGAGTCCCCCTAGGGTGTGTCAGCCTATGGTTTACATCTTTGGGCTGGACCTGTGAGACAAAACAATCTTCTAGCATATGGGTACCTGCAAGATTAACTTTCTGAAGAAAATAGCAGTTTGTAAAGGGTTAACTGTGAAAATCACTTAGGGAAGGGATTTTATACAATTGTATATTTTATACAAGATTCGACCTGCCAGCTCATGTGAGATGGAATTCTGCAACTTACATTAACAGCTGTTTGCACCCTTGCAAAAGGTGTGAATGGTGCATCTACTTTCGCCCGTGCGCAAGACCAGTGCTAACTTTCTTTGGCTCAGAGCCAATAGTCTGGTCCCTAAGATTCTCTAGGCAGACACTAGAGACAATAAGGACATTTTTGTCAAAGGAAACCTCTTTCCAGAAGAAGAAATGACCCAAGAACTTTTAGCCTAACCCTACGGATGGGCCTGGGAGCATCTGTAAAGATGGTCGTTTAAGTGGCAGGTTTTTTTAAAAAAAGTATTTATTTATGCCTAGATGCTTGGTGCCCATATGAACTCATATCAGTGGGAATCAAGTAGCTGAAAACCTTTATCTTTCTGTGCTGCATGCCTCGTGGAAGAAATACCCACTGCAATTGCCATAATATCCCAGAGTCATTTCCCACTTGTTCCTATATTACTATCAAAGGAAGTATCAATTTTTAGTGTCATCCTGGCAGCTTCACAATTTTCATTCAAAAGAATCCAGAGCACCTCGGAACAGATGTGAAAATAAACTGATGGGCAATTCTTGCAAGGGGTGATTGGAATTTACATTTCACAGGAACTTCATCTCCTCTCTGACACACAGTCTTCTGTGTCACATGACTGGCTCCTGCTCAGCATCATAAAACCAATAATGCCATGCTGTAAAATTATATTTACAAGAACAAACCATAGAATTTAGTCAATTCATGCTGATTGGCATAAACTAATACTATGAAACTGAACTGAAGAACTGAACTGAAGGCAAGATGAGAGCAGGAGGAGGTGGTTCTACCAGGTCTATCTTCTGTTTTTCTAAAAGTCTGAGACCCACCCACAAGAACCTACTGCAAGACATAAGCTGCAACATCATGAAATTGTCCTGCTTGGTCCTGGAATTTTGCAGGAAGACTAGATGTCATTTTTGTTTTGAATCCATCTCATGTTTTTCCTTCATTTCTTGTCTTCTTTTTTAACTTACTAGGGAAAAAATCTGTTAAGATGAGGAAAGACAAAAATAGCTTCCATTGGGTAGAGCATCAATCATGGCATGGAGTATAAATGAAACGAACAACAATAGCAGCACTTGGAGATAAAGCATCATGTACCTGGTGTACCAGAACTCAATGTATCTCACAGTCCTTCCTCCCTTCACCCACAAAAAGCATTTCCAATCACCCCACATTTTCCTCATTTCAGCAGTATAATTTAGGCAGTAGGGTTGGGATTTATTTTGTTTCTGCTTTGGTTGAATAATTGGGAGTACACAATTCTTGCCAATCTACTGCAAAGGGCACAGAGATTGATCAGTAGATCCAGGTCCACCTTATTTATTTCTTGATTTATTATAGCTTTCATATACTGTCTAAACTACTAGCATCTTGGGAGGGTCTTGCAGTAAAAACAGCATAAAATGAAATGAAGCACAGCATCCAGTACTAAGTTACAGCTTGTTCAAAATGGATTCCAGCCGTAAGACCTGAATTCAGATCCCTGCTTGGTCAGGAAGCTCACTGACTATCCTGCAAATGCTATTTTGGGATGCATTAACAGAATTATAACTTCTAAATCAGGAGAAGTGATCGGTTCCTGATACTCTTCGCTAGTCAGACCTCATCTGGAATACTGTCCACTTCTGGGCACCAAGATTTAAGAAAGAAGCAGAAGGGTCAAGAGGAGAGCAACAAAAATTATTCAGGGTCTGGAAACACTATGCTATGAGGAGAGACTCAGGGAAATGGGTGCATTCAGCCTGGAGAAGAGAAAGCTGAGCAAAGAATATGATATCATTCTATAAGTACCTCAAAGGCCGTCACAAAGAGGAAGGTCAAGATCTCTGCTCACTGTTACCAGAGTGTAGGACATGGAATGATCAGTCCGGGTTGTGAGAACCCAGATTCAGGCTAGATATCAAGAAAAGTTTCCTCACTTTCAGAAGAATGGAGCAGTGGAACCAGCTTGTGTCTCTCACACGAGAGACATTCAAGATGAAACTGAGTGGGCTGATGTCAACTGGTGACCTGCTTCAGCAGGGGATTAGAGCCAATAGCATTCATAGAATCATAGAACAGTAGAGTTGGAAGGGACCATGAAGAGGCTTTCTTGGCCACATCCAACTCTACTACTCTATGATTAACTTATCACTGCAGGGGGTCCAGTGAGAAAGCTCATCAACTGATCTCTGTGCCTTCGAGGAAGAGTAGGCTGAAAAAGAAGGATTTTTTTAATCACTTAAGTTAGTTAACATACAGTAGATGTTGTTATCTTGATAAAGGAACAAGCATGGCGTGGTGCTAATGGCAAACCCCATGTGCCCCACCTCAAGCTCCTCAGAGAACTACATGAGCACAGCTGTTAATTAAGGAACAAATGAAAATATGAGTTGGAATATAATGAAGTTATAAATCAGCGATGCTGTGAAATATGCACAGCAAAGGAATCAGGAGAGGGTGGATTGGTGCATGTAAACAGATAAGAGGACAGGTCCAGAAATCTGACTTCTTTCTTCAGATATCATAATCCTAGGATGGAGAGGCAAGATCCATCCAGCGGATAGTTCTAACCAGTGCTTATTCCCAGAATTGTAAAGTAATATTTGCACTGGGTATACGAAATTGAAATCTCAGTGCAACCTCCTTGACCAATGTAAACTGGGATACCTTTATAAAATAAAGTATGTGAAGGAGTCTGAGTACATGGAAGTACTATACAAATGCAATACTGCCTCTAATATTAGGAATATAGTATAGGTCACTTAATAATCAGATGAGTAGCCAAACAGATGACTATTTCTGTAAGGCTACAAAAAGTGAGAGAGGGTGAAAGCCAACCATTAATGAAATATATATTCATATGCAACGTGTCAATGTTGTTCAGAAAATTTGTGCCAGTTTTAATAACTAAATGGAAGGATGGTTGACATGCAATTAAAAATTACAGAGAAAATGCAATCAGATGGAAAATGAAAGCCTAGGTAAAGTTTTCTGAGGAGTTGAATATTTAGCTAATGATGGGATAGGTTAACCTGCATGGAAACCAGATGCCCATTCGCTTATTAGGACTCAACAGGGAAATCTGAGAGGGTCCAGATCATGGCAATGACAAGGGTTACAAAAGTTGTTGTATATGAATGTTATCAGGTACACTCAATCAGCTGTTGGGAAGGGAACTGCCCTGAGAAAGGTCATCAGACTAGAAAATCTGCAGTAGACTAAAAAAGTGATTTGGCTTAGTAATTCAATGAAGGCAGTCTTCATCCAGATGTGTTGGCCTGCAATTCCCACCAACCCCAACCAGCCAGAATGACCATTGGTGGGGATTGTAGCCCCAGCTCCTAATAGCCCAACATTTCTGAAGGGAACCATGTTAGGGAATGGCAATCTGAGACATTTGGGAAAATGACTTTTCAATCCCAGCTGGAAAAAGATCTTCCAAACTGGTCGTATGAATCAACCATAGGACAGGGACAGTGGTGGAGTTTCTGCCACTTAAGAACATAGCAATGCCCTGGTTGGGTTAAACCAACATCCAGCTAGTCCTGGATACTCTTTCTTCCCAGCAGTGTCCAGCCAGAGGTGAAATCACAAGTAAGAGATGAAGCTCACCTCTTGTCCTTCCCCTCTATTGTTTCCCCGTTATCTTGTTCTCAGCAGCAGACTGCCTCTGTTTTTGGAAGTTCTGCTCAGTTCTGTGGGCTGTAGCCATGTTAAGATGCATTTCTCCATGCACTTGCTCCATCCTTTCTATGAGCTATTAACTGCTACCCCATCTTGTGATGTAGTGAATTGCATAATGTGTGAAGAATTGGTTGGGACCAGTGAACTGGCCTTCCTTGACCAAGCTTCCTGTATGTCAAGGAGCCCTGAGGATGCAAGAATATGGCTGCTAGTCTTGAAAAACAGCCTGAGGTTCCTTCCTAGTTCCACGGAAACACCAACTTCTTACTTGCTTCCTTACTCCAAAAGTTACTTACAAGCCAACTGATAATAATACTTACTTATTTTTCTCCATACCAGGATGCGATTTAATCCCAGTCCAGTATCTCCGATGGGGTGATCCAGAACCAATCGCAGCTGTGGTTTTCGCCTGCCTGGGCCTCCTGGCCACCATGTTCGTGACGGCCGTGTTCATCATGTACCGTGACACTCCGGTCGTCAAGTCATCCAGCCGGGAGCTCTGCTACATCATCCTAGCAGGCATCTTTCTGGGCTACCTGTGCACATTCTGCCTCATTGCAAAGCCTCAGCAGATCTACTGCTACCTTCAAAGAATCGGCATCGGTCTCTCCCCGGCGATGAGCTACTCGGCCCTGGTGACAAAAACGAACCGCATTGCAAGGATCCTGGCCGGCAGCAAGAAGAAAATCTGCACCAAGAAGCCTCGGTTCATGAGTGCGTGTGCCCAGCTGGTCATCGCTTTTCTCTTGATATGCATCCAGCTTGGCATCATCATCGCTCTGTTCATCATGGAGCCACCAGATATAAAGCACGACTACCCGAGCATCCGAGAAGTGTACCTGATATGCAACACCACCAACCTGGGGGTGGTGACTCCTCTTGGATACAATGGCTTGCTCATCTTGAGCTGCACCTTCTACGCGTTCAAGACCAGGAACGTCCCTGCCAATTTTAACGAAGCGAAGTACATCGCCTTCACCATGTACACGACTTGCATCATCTGGCTGGCCTTCGTGCCCATTTATTTCGGGAGCAACTATAAGATCATCACCATGTGTTTCTCGGTCAGCCTAAGTGCCACCGTGGCTCTGGGCTGCATGTTCGTGCCAAAGGTGTACATCATCCTTGCCAAACCAGAGCGGAACGTGCGTAGCGCGTTCACCACGTCGACGGTGGTCCGCATGCACGTTGGGGATGGGAAATCGTCTTCCGCGACGAGCCGTTCAAGCAGCTTGGTCAACCTGTGGAAAAGGAGGGGATCGTCTGGAGAGACTCTAAGGTAACCATTCACTGTATAGGAGGCCTCTGAGTTGCAGATGCTCCAGCTGTGAACAGGGAAGGAAGATACGTGCTGAATGTTATCGCTTCTGCTCTGCCAAGCATCTCACGAGAGTCTGCATTATTAGAATAGTCCTGTGGGCTACCACAATGCAGCATCCGTCTCTCATCCCAAATAGAAACATGGCAGACATCGCTAATTCTTCATCTTCTGAATTAATACTGAATATACCCCAGGGTCCCCCAAAGAAACGTTTTCCAGATGTGCGGGACTGCAGTTCCCGTACTTCCCAGCCAGGGTGGCCATGGAAGCATTGTGGAGCTTGCTTCAACCCCAGGTGGTGTAGCCATTGGCCTGCAATGTGGGCCTTTGTATCATGCTTACTTAGTCAATGGGCCTGCTGGCTGGGGAAAATGGGAGCAGTGATTCAACACATCTGGAGGGCATCAGCTTGGAGAAGGCTGAAGTTGTCCTATCCTTCTGAATCTTTCTGGCCCCTCTTTTTTTCCCCTTCCTCTGTCTGTGTCAGTCAAAATGTCTCCTTCTCTTTACAACATTGATGTCCTCAGTAAGAGGCCCCGACACCCTTGAGCAAATCACAATCCAGCCAGGGGTCTGTGCCAATGGCATGGCATGGCACGGCACGGCACGGGATGGCACGGGATGACCCGGCACAACACGGCATGGTGCGGCAGGACACCTGCCAAAGCCCCACCACTGGGGGAGGGGGGACCACTGACCGGAGCCCCCAGACTTGCGCGTCCTCTTCCCTGTTGCACCCAGCCCACGCACCTGCCTCTCCCCTTGGCCCAGGCAATGGCAGCAGCGAGCAGCAGGGGCAGGAGATGCCCCTCGCTCTTTGCTCACTGGCTGTGAGCCTGGCAAGGAAGCAGGCGATCACAATAAGAAGGATAAAGCAGCTTCAGCCGCTGCCAACAATGGTAGTAAGGAAGAAGACTCCCTGAGGGAGGGGAGGCCTTCGTTACGACTGCTATTACTATTCCACACACATAGCCCATAGTTGGTTTACACTTCCAACAATAAAAACAAATAGACATCTCCAAATACACTGGGGTTCCAAATGCATTTTATAATAAATAAAATAAATATGCAACTGTAAAACAAATGCTAAAGAAAAGAAGTAACTACCAAGTCTAATAATTTAATCCCCAAAACAACAGTCCACTGGCCAGAAATGGATCACCACCCCCAGCTGCCCCAAACAGGAAAAGCTCCAGCACTGGGGGGGGGGGGGGGCCCTCTGAGATGGTCCTCCGGGATGGGCTGCAGCTGCGGCATGTGTTCGCTTGCCCGCTCCCCTCCGCACTGACCCAAAACCAGTTGCTGCCACCAGCTGGTGAGGAGGCAAGGTCACAAAGGGCAGCAGTGGAAGGCAGGTGAGGGTCAGGTCTGGCAAGCACACAGGCAGGGGGAGGATGGAGGGCAGCCTGGGAAGAGTGAGGCGTTGGCTCTGGACAGCCAATGAGGAGGTCCCCCACAGTCCCTCTAAAACTGGGACCAGCACTGGCACATGGCTGAGCCTCTTGAACTGACATGAAACGCTGCCCTATGAGGAGAGACTGAGGGAACTGGGCATGTTCAGTCTTAAGCAGAAAAGACTGAGGGGGACATGATATCCCTCTAGAAGTCCCTCAAAGGCTGTCAGAAAGAGGAAGGTCAAGAGCTCTTCTTGCTGATGCCAGAGTGTAGGACATGGAATAATCAAGTCCATTTGCAACAACTCAGATTCAGACTGGACATCAGGAAAAGCTTCCTCAGAGCAAGACGACAGTGGAACAGCTGCCCAGAGTATTGGTGGGCTCTCCCACACTGGAGACATTCAAAAAGAACCTGGACAGCCCTCTGAGTGGGATGGTGTAACGTGGTGCCCTGCAACAGCAAGGGTTGGACTTGATGGCCTTCATGGTCCCTTCCAACTCGTCCATTCTATGATTCTGTGACACTGGATGCATGCACAGGACCATTGGCCCAGCAGTACCTTATCACTGCACATGCATCCTCTTGGGACACGCATGGCCTGGCCTTCTAGACCATGCTTTAGTCTCCCACAATGCTTTAGGAGGCACTTCTCCATGGTGCACGTTAGGCAGCCATAGTCTGTGGTGTGTATAGTGGAAGCCCATGGGTGGCGCCAGCTCCTTGTGTCTTTCCTACCTCTTCACCGGACCTTGTGACTGGTCTCGTCACACAGTCCCTGCATCCACAAACATAGAGCAGCTGCGTGGGGTGACATCACAGGATGTGGCCCTAACCTGCTGTGGGTGCATCTGACATGGAGCTTTGCATTGTGCTTACCGAACAGAACCTTCCCACTCAACAGGTATGTACATCCGTGTGGCAAAATGCACCGTGAACTGGCTGTCCTTCCCACCCAACCTCCAAAGTGGCCTCTGTTTGAAAAAAATAAGGCAGTTCAGCACAAGCACAGCCACTGGCCTATGAGGACCTGTTGAGTCAGCGACACACGTGCCAGGAGAAGAAATGCCAGAGTCCGTACAAGACAAGACATGCAGATTGCTTCTTTTTTCTTTGAAGCTGCTCATCCGAAATTATTTTCTCTCGGCTGATAGTCAAACTCGCCGTGGCTTACTGTATCTCTCAGCACTGTGAAAAGACAACATAATTGCTCCAGAACTAGAAATTAATCATTCACCATTCAGTAGATAGCATCATTAGTAGCTATTTTGGGGGTTTCCATAAGTGTTTTCCAAGTGATTCATGAAATTTCGCTCTTCATATGGCACTCCTTCCTACTCTTTGTTCTTCTTTCTTGGTCCTGTCATTACTTATTCCAACAGCTCGCTGCCTGCTATTCCTCTAGCCATTCCCATGGCACTGCAGCTTCCTGAAGCTCCAAGGTTTCCATGTTTCATCCCAGTGCTGATGATTCCCTTTGAAGAAAAGCATTCTGGCCCAGTGCTCTAAGCCAGAGGTGGAGAACCCTTTCTCTCACGAGGTCCAGATTACCGGGGCCCAGATGGCTGCCCAGGTACTGATGCACGCTCTGGCTGGAGTTGTCCCCAGAAGTGGGTGGCACTGCAAGGCAGAACTTCATCAGTTCAAGTTGAAATGAACTTGTCACTCTCAGGGACCTGTTAAAATCACTGGCGATCACCGTGCTGGTGAGGAAGGAATCCACAGAATCCATAGAGTTCTTGTAAAGGCATGCAAAGCTACGGTCTCTTTCAGTTGTGCAATCGCCTTCTCCAACCCAGGAATGCAACCCAGGAATAGCATAATCAACCTGTTTAAAAGAGGCCCCAAGAAAGGATCCATCCTGACTCTGCTCCATGGTTGGCAATGGGCTTGTGAACCCATTTGAGCCAGCAATGAAGAGAGTGGAAGCCAAAACAAAGCAATGCCAATAACAATGACGATGATTATGATGTTTGATTCAGAACCACATACCTATATTTAGGCAGTACGGGGTGTTGTAGAGAAGTGAATCACGCTGGCTCTTAAAGAAGCATACTGCTTGAGTCATGCCAGGCCGCAGAAGGGCCCCTATCATTAAGACCGTGCTTTTCTGAGTCTAATTGATGACACCGTCAAGTTGCATCAAAGGGCTGTCAAAGAGATAGCGCCAGGGCTCCATTCAAACCTTTGCCTGCTGTCAGCTTAGGAAGGGGAGCGAACAAAAGCAGGGCATCGAGCATGAACTGCGGGCTTCTTTTCTTTTCTCTTTTGCGTAGGATGCTGCCTGATGCAAGGATCTTATGGAAATCCTAGGCCTGCCTATTAAAAAGGTGTTGCTCTGGAGTGGTTGCAGGAGAGGCACAGTTGTCCTTGGCAAGGTCCCAGTCCACATGGTGGTGAGAGGTCGTGGCAAACAGAGCCCATGAGAGTGCATGTGAGCATTTCCTCCGAGTGCTTGCAGAAGCTTATGAGGATGTGTGAGTGCTCTGTGGGAAAAATGCTTGCAACCCACAGTGCCTCCATGCATTGCAGGAAGCACAGCGAGATACAACATATTTGGTGTGGGGTAGAAAGAGGCCCACCCTTAAAGACCCCCAGGACCATGCAACCTTACGCACAAGAGATTTCGATCCATTTTAGCCATTGTTTAGAGAAACAACCATTTGTTGTTTAGCGTAGGAACGGATCTGTCCACTTCGCTTTTTCCTGCATTCAAAGCTTTTAAAAAATCAAATCCTTTGTGTCCCATTTATGAAGAAATGGGCATGTTTTGGTACATTCATTTAAAAAATAAGACCTGAAAGACCATGTCCCCTGGTCCCATTCAACAGGTGCTGCTTCTTTCAGTGGGGTTGTGATATTTGCGCCTCCCTCGTCGCTGCTTGAGATGAGAAGCTATCAGGAAAAAAGTGGTGGCAACACAAAGTCAGCACCACACACATGGATAAATACACAGAGGTTGAGTTCTCAGCACTCAAAGCGATGGGCGCAAATCCACAAATTTGTTTCTGTTTTAAAATTCATTTCTAGCTCTTTTGGTCCTGTTGAAAAAGTAATTTGAAAATTTTCATCTATTTATTACATTTCTATAGGGCATGAAAGTCAATGCTCTCTGAGCAGTTCATAAGATTTACAAGCTATGAATACCAGATATTCAGTATAACATTTTAAAGAAACAAATTTAACAACTCAGACAATTCCTGTAAGATGCTAACCTGATAAAGAGAACTGAGATGCATGTCTCATCATCTGCCCTTAAATATGCAGGAGTAGAATGGTGCCAAGCCATCCTTGCTGGGGTACCCATTCCATAATTGGGGGCCACCACGGAGAAGACCCCTTTCTTTTTTCCCACGTCCTGTGTTTCCCCCAGGAGAAACACCTGAAGAGCCTCAGATGATGAGTGACCTGCACGCATCAGTTCATGCTAGAAGTGCTCCATCAGTTATTCTGGCCCTGACCCATGTAGGGCTTCATGTTGTCAAAGGAAGCACTTCAAAGTGGGCTCAAAACAAGCCAGAATTGGTGTTAGGGGTTTGGACCTTCTTGTTCATGTCCTTAAA